GATACTGACGCTATCAGTCTTTCATTTTAGTAATATAATAAAATTATTCTTTAGCATAAAATTATTCGCAATGGTCATGCAAATAGTGGAGTTACCCGTAGTTTAGATAAACTTTGTGTGAGTACCACCATGTCACGAATTAAATTGTTAATCTCTTCAACTTCAGGGTAATATTAGAAATATTTAGAACTATTAAAATCTTTAAATTCTGGTAGTGCCTCACATAGTATGGACTACATCGACTATTTATTAGTTTAAAAAAATCCATCTCATCAAATTTGCTGGATTCTTTGATTCTCATTCATTTTCAAAAAGTTACAGGTAAAAAAAATCTAAACGTATTTCTGCAGCATTTAACCCACATTTAACTCAATTTTTGAAATTCTGCGCAATGAATATTTAAACTTTGTGGGTACACTGTGTCAAAACTTTTCAACTTTTGGATGATTTCAGCAATGCTAACAAGTTATTTGCTTTACATAATTTATTTAAACATGTAATTCATAACCATTCTAGTACTTTAAATAAATTCCAGATGATCGTACTGAATGATTTTTACGGGAGATTGGCCTATCGCTTTGATTTCAATATCATTATGTTAAAAACTGGAATTTTGAAAGCTGAAAGTGAGGCTGATGGAGACTTGGTGAAAGCGTCTGGCGACGCCGGTCGGTCGGCACAGTGGTGGACTCTGGCGAACTGATGTTGGCTTCGTTGAGAGTGTATGATTCCAGGCCCTAGAGATGGCGACTTTCGTTGATTTTACCGATGTGTGTTTAAGCTTCCAACCCCTTGGTCGGTAAAACTACGACCGGTATAACGCAACCACGCAGGATAATAGTGCAACCGCTGCAAAGCGAGTCCAACCTCGGTACCGTCGAGAGGCCAGTTCTCCACCAAAAGTTAACCTCACAACTAACGGGTCCTGACGCTCTTTCTACTTCTGCTGCTAAGACACTCCTAGTTAACTTTCCTTTTAACGGTTTTCAGCTTATACAACTGCTCTCGTGTAAGTTTACTTGGCAAGTCGCGGAAGAAGTTTCCGTGCTACTCTCCGTTCCCTTTCTCTGTAGTTATTGTACCCATTCTCCTGTTTTCCACTGAACTCAACTTGTTGGCTCCCCGAGCAAAGTCCAGCATCAAAATGACAGCAAATTAAAATCAAGTTTTGATATCAACATCAAACTGAAATCATAGTTTGATTTCAATTCACGCAATTGACAAATTTGATTGCAAATTTTGTCTTCATTTTGCTGTACATTTGCTCTTCAAATATATGTTGTTGTGGGTTTGTTTTAATTGCCTTAGCATAACATCAAATTGAATACTTGTTTTGTTATCAACCGGAAAAATTGATATCAAATTGAGTTTTCAGTTTGCTCTCACTGATAGCAGAAATAGTTTTCAATGTGATGTCACAAGAAGATTTGTTTGCTCTCAATTTTGATTTTTTAACCGACAGCAACCTGAGTAACCATTATAAGCGAAATCACAACATCAAATTTAGTCAATACCTATTCCAGCAGTTGGTAGTGTACTGTGGTATTATATGCATACACAGATAAAAATTCTGAATTTTAATAGAGATGTAAACATTCAGTCACGTAAACTTGTATTTCATTTCACGCAACCGAGCAACTTGTAAACAATGTTGTTTACAACAATGGGCTTTTGTATACAATATTTGCTAAATTGCATGAAATGTCTCAGAACTTTACATGATATATAATGTAAACTTATATGATATGTGACGCTCCATTTATGTGCATCATACTGAACAGAAATTAACACTACTTTTTCGAACTGTGTACTGTTGCACATAAATGGAACGTCACATATCATGTACGTTTACATTACATATCATGTAAAGTTCTGACCCATTTCATGCAAGTACACGGGAAAAATCTGATCTCCGAAATGAGACAAATTACTCATAATTTCATGAACATAGCGTATTTTCATGTTATGAAAATACACCATGAATAATATTCATGATATCATAAGCAATTTTTGCGTAACGCACCCAAGATTTCCGAAATCATGAATCACCCGATTTGAAACCATGAGCTTACTTTTAGCTTTTAAACCAAAAAATATAAAAATAATAAATTTAAGCAACAGACTAGATTCGAACCAAGAACCATGCGATTATTAAACCCATACTTTGATCACTAGACTATGAGTACTTGTATAAGATGAAAGGCAAAGGGCGTACAAAAGATACCTATGTGGTGCGGTTTATGAACACGGTTTGCCAAGTACGTGTATCGGTTTTGATTTCACTGCATTATGAAATCATGTATTTCCATCATGAAACCATGGATCATTGTTATGATTTCATGGGATGGCAAGTTTTTTTCATTGAATGATTTTTTTGTTCATGAAAATGGAATTGGATTTGTTTCCGTGTAGCAAATATTGTACACAAAAGCCCATCTTTGTAAACAACATTGATTGCAAGTTGCTCGGTTACGTGAAATGAAATACAAGTCTACGTGAATGAATGTTTTCATCACAATTAAAATTCAGAATTTTTATCTGTGTGCCCAACAAACAATTCAGAGTCACAAATAAGCATATATATTGAATAAATGCTTTATAACAGTGAATAAAACGGGTTGTCAAATTGTATGCTGAAGAAACCTCATTGAGATCGATAGATGCACCTTTATTCGGCAACACCAAAAGTTTGATCTAATAACATACTGAATAAGTGTACACACCAAAAAATTATGAATTTTAATAGTGTTGTAAATATCCATGCATGCTAAAATTGAAGCATGTAAACTTCCTTTTCACGTAAACTAGCAACTTGCAAGAAATATTGCTTACAAAGATGGATGGTTGCATACAATATTTAGAATATTTCATGAAATGACTCATAAATTTACACGATCTGTAATGTGAATTTGTATGGTACGTGACGCTCCATTTATGTGCATCATAGTGACAGAAATTTACACTACTTTTTCGAACTGTGTTATTTGCATATACATTGACACTTTAATTCGACTGTTTTCAATTGATTTAATAACATGCTTTATTATACGTCTCATAATTGCTTTCTAGTTCCATTATTAGATTCCATTGCATTGCTTAACAATATTGCTGAATAAAGGTGAATACAGTTGTAAATGCTTTAAAACGGCGTATTCTTTCATTATTCCACAACACTGTTTCAGGCTAACAACAAAACGAAATTGGTGGCATAGTTAGAGATGAACTAGCCTAAGGCTAAAAATCTCTTTAATAAAGCCTTAAAAAAAGGTATCATAGTGGTTACCGTTTCCGTTTTCCAAGTAGAAGGTCGCGAGTTCAATCCCAACCTCAAACCTTTTTTTATTTATTGTATAATCATAGATCGTATCACTCACGACAACCAATGCATCGATCTATCGAAAAGAATAGCCCAGAATCCATCGAAACTAGATAGATGGAGAGGTAACATTGGTCTCATGTAAGACTACTATGAATGAATTACTCATTCTCACATCTCCTCGAATTAGCTAGACTTACGGGTGGGAGTGCTGATAGATATTCAGATTCGAGTTTTTATTGCTTATTTAGCTGCCTATATGATGTATTCAAGGATAGCTCAGATGGCAAGGCAAGCGGCTGGTGATCGAAAGGTCATGGTTCGAATCCCATCTAACGACATTTATGTGTGTGTATCCATGTATGTAATAAATTTTCTAGCATCTGTGTGGCGGGGCGCGTGCTTCGACAGAAATAAATGACACACAACAAATCACTAACGAGAACAACCCTGCTCTGTGCCGTTCCTATTTTCGGATTAATTATCCCGTAGTTGAATAATCGTTTAATAAATATATAAAAGTGTCTAGTTAAACCTTATTTCACATGAGAATCAAGCGTCTATATACACCTTCATACCATCGCTGTTCAAGGAAGTAAATGATGTCTAATAGACGCTGAATAATCAAACATTTCATCGAATAAAGCTCTATTACAACTTTTGTAAGCTGAATAAAAGCTTCTCGGCATACCTTATTCAACGCCAAATATTTCGATGTTGTGCTTGAATAAATTCTCCAGATTTGTGTGAACAAAGCTTGAACAGAAGTTATTATTAAAAATAGAACAAGTATTATTAAGCCAGCAGTTGAATAAAATCGCCAAGAAGTCGTTTCTTCAATAGGCTATTGTTTGTTGAGTGGTGTACTAAAACTAAGGATATACTTATAGCCATTATGATTTGAATCTAAACGGAGAAATGCAAAATTCAACAAACTTACATACATATAGCAACAGAAGTTACTAACGGTAACATGTTTTTAATCTTATTCCCCAAATGTTGACGAAGTTCCCTAATATTTTATGCAGGAAAACTTCTTTAGAAATTGGAACAATTTTTTTTAGAATCTTTAAACAACTCTGAAAGCATAGTCCGACCTGTATTGATGATAAATAGTCCATAGAAGCACGAACACTACTTAAAATGACGAGAATACGTACATTTCCCTAGCTACACAGCAAAAAATTAATTTGGATATCGCATCAAAGTGGATGCACTTCAATCGTGTCCAAAATATGGTGTAATATTACCTGCTAAAAAGGACAAAATTATCATTAATACAGTGCATGTGCTGACATTACGTTGCTTTTACTGCATTTGTTTATTTGTGTGGCCATAAAAATTACATGAGATTTTCGACATGATTGAAGTGCATCCTCTTGGATGTAATATTAAAATTTATTTTTTGCTGTGTAACTTAATAATAAGATCTTAGCACAATACATAACTGTTTGTACAGCATTCCTCCCCGATGGTTTAATTTGTTCCATCCTTGACATTTCCACGTAAATCAACATCGCTAAACAAGCTTTTATTATATTTATGAAATCATCGTGTTGTTTGTGTTTATTCCCACAGAGTGCGAAAAATCCATGTAAACTGATTAAAAATGCATTGAATGCATCGTATCAAGATTGCTTTTCACATTTCACATTTTTTTTTTCTTTCTTTTTTTTCTTTGCAGACATCGAAAGCATACCAATGGTGAGGTACATCGCAGTTGCAGGGCGGAACGTCACACTAAGCTGTCCCGGAGTGAATGAACACTCGCTGGTGGACACGCTCACATGGAAGTCCAGCCAAACGGTAGCCGAGTTTGTCAGCGGACTACCACAATCCAGTAATAATAGGGTGAGATATTTTTTTTTCATCCGTGTGCTAATCAATGATAAATGACCAAGGGAGGATATATTCCATCTTCTCTCTGCAGACTGTCGTTATTAATTATCATTACTCGCCTTGGCATGGTGCCATTTTTTCCCGCTTTCCACTAATTACACCGTTTTTGCTTGGGTTCTCTTCATCATTCTTGTTTGCAGATAACATTGCTACCTGATAATTTTAGTCTCCACATCAGTCCAACGGTCGCCTCGGATACGGCCGAGTACAGCTGCCTGGTAAATGACCGGCACAGCCCAGAAGCCATCGTGGATCTGTTAGTACAAGGTATGTTCGTGGATGAATGTAGAATCTGACGCCGCTGCGTGGTGGATTCTAATGAACAAACAAGTTGGACAATTATTATTTTTCCTAACCAAACTGCATGCTTGCAGATGTTCCGGAACCACCGGGTCGACCACTGGTTCTCAGCTTCACGTCACGATCCGTGCACTTATCGTGGGCGCATTCACAGGATCCCAGGAATGCACCCATAATGTATTTCATCATCGAGTCGAGGTAAGTGAGATTCATATTATTTCGGGCGGTGGATGTTAATTGGCTATGATGAAAAGCAAATGGATATGCTGAAGCTGGGCAGCAAAATAAAGGTTTAAAATATCCATAGGTATTGTTGAAAAAAGTTGGTTGGTATGGTTACTGTTTGGAAAATTCATTTTTCCGTGAATTCTTCACGATTTTGTTGAAATGAAAATCAATTTAAGGACTAACGAAAACCTCATTACATAACATAAATAAACAAGCAACACTACATGAAGCGACATGTTACGTGGTCTGACCAGCTACCAGAATCAACAGGAAAAGTTCAACAGAGAAGCTTCAATCCCCAGCAGCAACTCGACCCCTTTACAGCCTTTGCTGTTCTGGCTGATGCTCCTGATCCCCATTCACCCTGGTTGCTGTGACAGTCGACCCACTATTGAGTAGGTACCTGAATTGATGGCTTACTGTTCCGCTTCCCGACACTTGCAAGCAAAGGCGATTGTTTGTGTACGCTTTCCGGGAATTCTACCCCTTGAATCCGAGCCCCAGTAAAACAATGGAGGACGAAAGATAAATAAGGATTACTTCCGGGAAGCAAGCACCAAGCATTCAAAGGTGAAGAGAATGGTGCGCTGCTGCTGGTGGGAAAGTTGATTTCCATCCACTTACTCTGACTTTGTATAGAATGTACAGAACAGGGCAGCACTGTAAATCACATCAGAGTTCAAGAGAGCTACTGTTTGGTGTTTGTGAATATGTGGTTGCATGGTTTCTATGTATTTATGAGGCTGTCGAATAAACATCACAAAGTAAGCAGGCTGGGATCGATAATAAAGCAAGTCCATCACGTAAACTACTTGTGCGATATTTGATCTGGGGTGGGATTCTTTTGGCAATGAAATATTAATTAAAGGTTGAATAGGTTGACATAAGAATTCACTTCTATAGTCTGACCTAGGTCGTTAAAAGGGAGCTGTGATCTCGCCAATTGTTTACTCTGTAAAGCAGTGTTTGAGATTTTCGCTGTTCACTGAATAATTCACGTTGATTTCCGTAGCCGTTGAACCCACCTGCGACAGTCAACTAAACTGATTTCCTTGTATCGGTGAGACGACGAGTCATGGCACATACAGAAATAGAGAAAAATACATCTTACTTCATCGAAGTTGTTACCTGAAATTTTGTATTGTCAGACTCCTAATTTTGCGTCAAGTAGGGTCAACTACCCCAATTCCGGCCTATTAAGCACAACCCGCACTTATTCTTTCTTAATCTAGCGCAGTTTAGCACCAAACGGAATGTTATTATTACTGATGGCTTCCAAATTTATTTACCTTTCCGTATGTACCTTAAGATTTGATAAAGAGAAACCAATCGTTGAGATATTGTCAAAAGTTTAACACTGCTTCATTGAAACGCCATTGAAACGGCAAAGAATTCACTTCGGCCTATCGGATGAAGATGAAAATTGATTCGGTCGGAGCGCTTCTTTTGTTTTTGGGAATAATGATGCAAACCTTCATATCACGCGTTTTCATTGACTTCGTTCCGTAGCTTATTGACCAAAGTAAATATCGTACCAAACGCATAGTCGACTTGTTAACTCTGAAATCATGGATTTTTTTGAAGTTTTCTGCTCGATAGGCCCAAAATGGGCGATTAGGTCGAAGTATGAATGAAATTAAATAATTAAATATGAAATGAAAAACTATGTCCCTGAAAATTTCTCAATAGAAGTTAATCATAAACCGTAGTGCCCATCATGTTCTTGACTGGATTTTTTAAAGAGAGAAAGAGAGAGAGAGAGAGAGAGAGAGAGAGAGAGAGAGAGAGAGAGAGAGAGAGAGAGAGAGAGAGAGAGAGAGAGAGAGAGAGAGAGAGAGAGAGAGAGAGAGAGAGAGAGAGAGAGAGAGAGAGAGAGAGAGAGAGAGAGAGAGAGAGAGAGAGAGAGAGAGAGAGAGAGAGAGGAGAAAGATTCGTAATTTCCATTTAATTCCACTACCTTATTTGCTTATGCTTGACAGATCACTGGCGTGCACAGGTTGGGATAAGGTGGGGCAATTACCCCCTTTTATAAATAAGATTTTCATTTCCACATTTACAAAATTATAATGTAAAATAACTTGATTTGAAGGTAAAATAACTTTATTTCATAATATAATGGCACTGAAAACCATTTATTGCGTTAAATCCTTTGAGATAGTTCCTGAAAATTGCACCACAACGGTGCATGAAGGAACAAACCTCAATGAACTTTTTTGATCATAAAACTTCTGGTGTAATTTTTTTTCAAGGGTTTTCATGGATGGTTTAAAAGAAGAGGGTAAATTTAAGGTTGGAAAAATTAATCTTCGTGGTGGTAATTCAATGAAAAAGTTTTTTTTTTATTGATTATTTCTGGTGTAAAACTATCAACAAGGTGGTGCAAAAATAAGTAATCAAAATTAATAACTCTGGTGGAAAAATTGAATTACGCTAAAAATTTGGAGGTGCACATTTAACTGAAAATTTCTGGTGGAAAGTTCGCAAAACTATGGTGAATGTAGAAGCAAGGTTTATTCAAAGACAAAGGCAAAGCCTGAAAATTGCACCACAAAGGTGTATGGTAAAACAAACTTCACTTACAATTTTTGGTGCACCGTTCTCGTGAATGGAGGAGCATGCTTTATTGAAAATTTATGGTGTAAAATTTGCATCGCTCTGATAAATAAAATGAACAGAATATTTCTGGTGGAAAACTTTCACTGGTCTGGCAAACGGATGAGCAAGCTTTACGGAAAATTTTTGGTCCTAAATTTGAATCCTTCTGCTGAATAAAAATGAAAAAAAAATTAAAAATAACTGAAAATATCTGGTGGAAAATGGAAAAGGAAATCTGCACCAATCAGAAGATTGGAGAAGCAATTTTTCCATTGAAATTTTCAGTGTAAAATTACCTGGGGGCAAGTTTGTATTGAAAATTTCTGGTGTAAGATTTGCAACAATCTGCTTCATGGAGGAACAAGCTGAATTGAACATTTTTGGTAGAAAAACTACAACGTTTTGGTGAATGGACGGACAACTTAAACTTAACTTCCTAGAAGAACCTCAAGGGTATTGAATTCTGAGGACAGTTCCAAAAGAAAATATTTCTGGGGATGATTCCATGAAAATTCTGCTAATAATTTCTAGTGAATCCTGCAGATAGTTCCAAGATAATTTCGAATATAATACCGAGAGAATCAAATTTTGAATGAAATTCCAAAGAATTGTTGAGAAAAATTTAAAGGGAATTCCAAGGATAATTTCAAGCTCATTCTGGGAAGAATTTTTGGAGAATACAGAGTAAATTCTTCTGAAACTTAAGGGAAATTTCAACTCCAAGGTGTTCTGAGAAAAAAAAAGTTCTTAAATATTCCGAGAAGAACCTCAAGGATATTGATTTCTTAGAGCAGTTCCAAAATATTTCTGGGAAGAGTTCAAAAAAAATTCTGCGGATAATGTTTAGTGCACCCTGCAGATAGTTCAAAGATAATTTCAAAAATAATATCGAGAAAATCAAATTTTGAGTAAAATTCCAAAGGTATTTTAAGCGAAACTTCAAGCGAAATCTGAGGATAATTTCTAGCTCATTCCGGGAAAAATTTCTGAAACTCTAAAGGAATTTCTATTTCAAGGTGTTCTGAGAAAAATCATGAAGAGTTCTAAGTATAATTCCAGTGGACTTCTGAAATGAATTTCAAAAGAGCTCTTAGGAGAGTTCTAAAAAAAATCTGAGAAGAACCTCAAGCATATTGAATTCTGAGGACAGTTCCAAATTATTTCTGGAGAGTATTCCAAGAAAATTCTGTAAATAATTTCTAGTGAATCCTGCAGATAGTTCCAAGGTAATTTCGAAAAGAATACTGAGAAAATTAAATTTTGAGCGAAATTCCAAAGGGATTTTGAGGAAAATTTCAAGGGAGTACCGATAATTTATAGCTCATTCCGAGAATACTTTTAGATAATACTGAGGTAATTCTTCTGAAACTCTAAGGTAATTTCAGTTCCAAGGTGTTCTGAGTAAAAGTCAAGAAGAGTTCTAAAACTAATTCCAGAACTTCTAAGAAAAAAAGATCTCATAGAGCTCATAAAATTTTGAAAAGAACCTCAAGGAAATCTGAGGAGTGACTTTTTTGCAACTGTACAAAGTTTAAAGACAGCTTTTGGATTTCCGAATTGGAAAACGGGTATTAGTTTGCCATTTTACCTTGGTCTATTGTAGTCTTACTAAGAATTCGTCTGAGGATCTTCTCTGGAAATTTCAAGACATTGTTACCGTGGTAAAAAAGTTACAGCTGTTTATGTGCGTTGGAATAAATTCGGGTTTGTCCTTTATATCGTCTTTAAAACATCTTGAATGCTCGGCATCATTTCCTGTCACCCCGACTGGCGGTACTTTGGGACAAGGTTGGCATGGTCAATCCTTCGCACAAGTCGTAATTTCGTTGACAATCCTGTACTCGCTTGTCAAAATAACTTTTATGCGCTTTTGTTTCATATTGTACATATTGTTTAAACCTTTTCAATGATCATATTATCCTTGGCATTTAGTTCAAAATTTGAAATAAAAATTCAACGTACTCGTACTGTAATGTTGCGGAACATTGCGAAAACCTTCCGAGGAAAACCAGTGGCAATCATTGCAGATGAGACAAGCGATTGTGGCCACCACGAGCAGTTGGTGATTGTCATTGATACCTGATCAGGTATATTGATAATGATGGGATTAAATTGCCAATTCCATTGGTTGTCTGAGAGCAGTTTGCATTGAAGAAGATGAACCACCACCGGAGCAAAAAATAGATAAAATTAACTAAATTGAACAGTAGGGAATCAGTGGTGGGGGGACAGCACCATCCACCACGCACTTTGGAGTACTTCCTATCACCAGACTAAATGCACCATAGAAGAAAAAATTGCCCCTCTCTAACAACACAGTAACAGATACGCGTATTGCGTCTACAATGTGCAGACTTCTTCAGTGTCTTGCATGA